TACGCGAAATCTTTCCAGCGCACAAACGATGGCTAAGGCTTCTAGTTCAAACGAATGGTATTTTGCCTCTTCAGGCGTTGTTTTACGACTGTAATAGCACACGGGTTGCCAAATTTTTCCATTTTGTCTTTGTAAAAGTACTGCACCTAGTCCTAAAGCACACGCGTCTGTATGAACTTCTGTATCTGCGGTATGGTTATATATGACAAGCAAGGGTTTTGACATTAACAAATTTTTAATCGTTTCGAACGCGTTATTTTGCTTTGCATCCCAATGAAATTTCGTTTCCTTTCTTAATAAGTCGGTTAAAGGTTTTACTATAAGCGCAAAGTTTGTTGACAAATCGTCGGAAGTAGCTTGCTAACCCCACGAAACTTCTCACGTCGCGGATCGTCTTTGGCATTGGGAATGATTTGACACTCTGCACCTTTCGTTCGCTTGGTCGTATACCTAAAACTGATACTTCAAACCCCAAATATTCTACTCTTAATTTAAGGAAATGACATTTTTTTAGGTTTATGGTTAATCCCGCGTCTCTAAAAACTTCGAAAATTTGTACTAGACGATTCAAGCCCTCCTCTACAGTCATACTCGGTATAATGACGTCATCTAAGTAAGCCATAGCTATATCATAACGCAGAGAACCTAGGATAGTATTTATCAACCGCTGAAATACCGCGGGCGCGTTACATAGGCCGAAGGGCATCCTTTTAAATTGGTAATGTCCGTCTGGTGTTATAAAAGCTGTTTTTTCTCGCGACCCTGGTTCTACCGGCACTTGATAATAACCGCTAAAAAGATCTATACTCGTATAATATTTTTGCCCGTGTAGTCTATCCAACTGATCATCCACGCGCGGCAATGGATACTTATCTTTAACGGTCGCCTTATTAATTGCACGATAATCAACGCACATCCGCATTTCGCCGTTCTTTTTTCGTACTAATAAAACCGGACTGGCAAAGGGGGAATTACTATTTTCTATGACATCCGCCGTCTGTAAATCATTAATCATGTCTTTCAATTGTTGTCTTTCGTGATAGGACATACGATACGGTCTATAAACTACACGTTTGTCCGTCGCAAGTTCTATTCGCATTGTCGCCCTATCTGTTCTACCTAGCTGTTTCATCGTATTCGCAACAAGGTCACGGTTCTTATTGAGCACACGCAGTAGATCGTCCTTCTCTTCTCCCTCTAAGTCTGTGTCAACTCGATCCTCGGTAATCGGCTCGTCGTTGATCTCTCGCTCAAGAGCTCGCTCCTCGCAGACTTTCCCCACGGGTGATGATGTCGCCTGGCTGGATCGTTACTCGCTGACCGGTCACATTTAGGACAGGTAGAACGGTCTGTCCTTTCTCGTCCGTGGCGATGACGCATCTAGGTATTATGGGGCCTACCTCCCGTAGGCCACCCTCGATACACATCTGCTCGTTTGGTGCATGACCTGCTACAACAATATGACCCAGATAATTATTTGGAATTACATACTGTTTGTCGGCTCGGAATGTGGTTTTTTCATTGAACTGTGTTACGTCATCCCCTGGTTTGTCAAAAGTGGTCATCACTCTCAACTCGCCGCTGCGGCTCACGATGACAACCTCGGGATGCTCGGTGTAAGGATGTCCTACCAACAGTGGCACGGCTTGACTTCCTTTTGGCACCACGTGAATTTCAGTTCGTACCGCAACACCTTCGATGCTGATGGTTGCCGTTAATACGCCCACCGGTTGGACTCTGCCTTCACCGTACCCTATAAAACTGTTTAAAAATGTCTCATGGTAAGTTAAACCAAGTTCGTTAGCCACGTCTTGCCGCAATGTCACCACACTACTCCCCAAATCGAGATAACACTTGACCGGATGGCCGTTCAGCAAAGCGTCCTTGAAATATTTTTGATGCGTGTCGATAGTAACGTGCAGAACTTGGACAGTCTCGCCTCGTGCTGCCGTGGTTGTCGTCGCTGCTGTGGATCGTGTTGACATTCTTTGTTGATCTCGAGAGATACTCGCCTGGCATGACCGTGACATGTGCCCGCTCTGGCCACATTTGAAACACGTTGGCAACGGTCTCGGCCTCGGACAGGCACGCGCTGTATGCCCTGTTTGTTTACAGGCGAAACAAGTTAACTGCGTGCTGGAATGTGGCGATCTGTTTACATGTCGTCTTTCAAGGACCGTTGGTATCTCCTTGAAACTCAAATTTGACTGCCGTAAATCGGCCAGGAGTTCGCTCGGTCGGCTATAACGACTTAACGGGCCCAAAAAATCCCTAATTCGCGGGCTGTTCAAACCGTCGACGATCCATTCGATCGCCTCACGATCGCCCATTCCAGCTCGAGTACATTTAGCAAGCTTCTCATAAAAATATTCGATCATATCTTGGTTAGGCCTCTTCTTATAATTTTGAGCTTCCATTCTTACACTCACCATACTCTGGTCCGACGGGAAGTTTCCTCGCAAGAGCTCCTTCCATTGTGGCCACGAGCGTTGAATGCTTGGCAGGCTATCTCTCCATTTCCGGGCTACACCTGTTAATTGGGCAAGGGCATGATGTCGAATCGCTATTTCATCCCATTTATAAAGGTCGCCGTATTCCTCGATCTTTTCCATCCATTCCTCGATGGTGAAATCGTTTTTCACCGGATCGAACGTCGGCAGTACACTCGTCACATCGCGAAAATGCCTCTCCTCTTCGTCTCGTCCCTCGTTGGCCATCATTTCGAGAAAATGGTATACGTATACGCTCACTCAGCCGTATATGTCCTTTTTCCTTCAAAATTCCGCACAACACAGTATTTCGCGCTCCAACGCCTGTCTGTGCTCCAACTTAGACACCGAAAACTTGTCCACTGCACTTCGCGCTCCGAATTCCCGAACGTTCCAATAATGATTGCCCGATCAAAATTTCGCCACGTGCTCGCGAATAATTCAAACACACGTGATTTAGTCAATTCGATTTAAATCAGTTCACTACTCTCACTCGCAATTTCGATTTACGTGGACCAATCCCACTTCTGATAATTGTCGGGGTACGTTTTAACAAAATACTAAAATATTTTATTGATACAATCGACTGCCGAAGCGAGGAGAAAACAGGAAGAAGAAGAAGAAGAAGAAGAAGAAGAAGAAGAAGAAGAACGAGCCCGCTCGCTCGCGGATTATTTATACACCTCGCGCACACGCTCTCTCTTTCTTTCCTTCTCTCGCGCGCGCGCACGCATTTCTTTTCTAATTGCGCGAATATTCAAATCGTTGCTACATAATGTCATATTTAGTGTACGATTAAAGTATGATTGAAAAAATAAAAAAAAAAAGTTCAAGCAGGGTTCGAACCAGCAGAGAAGAAGAAGTTCGGAACTTGCAGGCAAAGACCTCATCACTTACGCCACGCTGGTTAGTGGTGAACATAGTTCTATTTCTGAAAATAAGTACCTGTAATAACTTTAATAATATCTCAAAGTAAAACCTAACCCAAAACCTGGTACCATTCCAACTTTTCCTTGTTAGAAACGAGTTTTCAATTTGTCTTAGCGAAAATCGCAATCACATTTTGCACATTATTCTAAAACATTTGTGGTATTCGTTTTCAATGCGATTGAAGTAAGCATGTAATGTATAAGATTTCATTTAATGTTTTCTTTTCTAGAGAAGATAGAGAAAAAGTTTATATAATTTTTTTTATATAAAATTTAATTCGTCGTGTTTAGGTTTAAGCTGAAATACGTTTTAGAGACTGCGTCTCGAACGTGCGTTTTGTTTAGATCATTATTATAAGATAGGAATAAGGAAGGGTCGACTTTGACTGCAGGAACGTCACTCTGTATCGAACGTTAGTCGAGAGCAATCACAGTTTTACGTTTATGATCTTTTACGTTTACGTTTTATGTCTTTCTTTTATGTTCTTTATGTTAAATAGTTAGTAAATATTAAATAATATAATTACATCGTTACGTTTAGTGTTCACGTATTTGAATCCGTCGACACGCCTTTGAAATGAGAACATAAAACTTAAATGTAAAGTTTCATTTAAATTCATTCAGCTATTTATATTCAATCGTATTAATAATATACATATGTGTGCTCATACATGGGAATAAAAAAAAATTTCTTTTTTTTTCAATAATTAAAATATGATCAGGAGGTCTTAAAACGTGTATTTCCGTAAAATAAATTTTACAAAATTTTTTTTTCATTATGGGTACTTTGCTTATGTGCGCCTACATAGGTCGGAAAGTAAAAATGCCTGGGCAGTCGAGAATCTCGGCTCGAGAATCTAAATCGTATGCCATTGACGGGAGGTCGGATTTCAGTTGTTTAGAGCGAGAAGGCAAATGTGAGCCTTTCTCTCTCGACTCCCACGAGGCGATCCGAAATTACTTCGGGCAGCTTCGGAGAATCGAGAAAGAGGGCATGCGTCAGTTTGCCTTTGTCGACTTTCCGAAACTCCACGAGCTCACGTACGCGTATCTGGCATGTGTGCGTGTGCACCCGGCGGTGCTTTTCTGGCATCTCTGCGCATGACTGAAAAAATCATATTGGTTACACTGACTTGGCAGCTCCAAAAGAGTTCACAATCTTTTTATTGCTAGTAACTAAAAACTATGCGAATTTAATTACTTAATAACTTTACGCGTGTAGACTTAAGTTTTGATGGGTTATTATTTAAAAACTATTAACTACTCAAAGGAAATTCATTATACTTTAAATGAAAAGTTTCCTTTATTCTTTTACGGTTAAAAATTTCGTGAAATTGTGTTGTGCTCGAATATATAGAAGAATACATGTGATAATTCAGTGAATGCAGCAAAGTTACTATAAAAGGAAACGGTTAAATTCTCTCTAGTGGCAAAAATGGAAGGTCGCATAGGGAAGTGCATGCTAGTGACTTTCCTTTGAAGCGAGGCCGGAATGATGTGCCTGATTGTACCATCTTTGTAGTCATAAGAACCTGGTATAAACATCTGCCATAATGTTTTTGTTCACGATTGCGCACAGAATACGTTCGCGACCGTGCGGGAGTCCACATGAGCCTGTTGCCAGTTATTGATCCTGACACGGTTAAACAACACTGCATTGCCGTTAACTACGAAAACAATTCTAGTCACGAAGCGTTTGCAAAAACGCGCCGACATACAACCACGGTTACGTGTGCGTTTCTATTTCTACAAAGTATTGTGATATCAAAATGTGCTGTGTTTCTTCGACGTCATCTCTGTTCTGTCAAAATGTAGAAGTCCCGTAAGACTGAAATATCGATAAGTGACATTTGTCATTGGTACGCAAAGATGTCATCGGTAGTTTTCCTCGAAAAAGGAACACGTAACTAGAGTGTGACATAACTTTTTCCTATTACAAAATTTGTATGTACCTTTGTCGATCGAAGTCTTTTAAAAATCTTAGTATCTTGGCTCTGAAATTTAGGAAGACTTGAATTTGTGTCGCTGCTGCACATGTGATCCTCTAGGTATTGTCTTCGGTCCGTAATGAAGAAGTTTACAATTAAAGGTGTGCTTGACGGGTTCCGATCATCGGTACCTCAGCCCGTCAAACCTGATCAGGAAATCGTCGAAAATTTACGGCCGGAACACTTTCAAGTAAAAAAGGTCAGTGGTATTCACTTTATCTTCATTTCTTTTAATGTAACAATTTTTAACAATATAAAACAAACATGTGCAAACAACTAAGCACATTATTGAAAATGTACAATGCCCCCTTTTTAAAATGTATATTTTTTATTTGATTAATCTATATTAATGATATACTACAATGTGGGCTGCTTTATCACTAGATTTTTACAAGTGTCAAATCAAAGAAAATAATATGTAACTGGAGTAATTATTGTCATTAATATATGATACTGTAATGGTGTCAATGTGTTTAGGAATGTATACGTATAATCAATATGTTACAGAAAATTATTATTTTTCCTTTCAAAATTATTAAATAAACATTCAGTTTAAATAGAAGCAAAGCAATTAATGATAATAGAGAAAAAAACAATTTATCAATAGATATGTGTTTCTAACCAAATGTGATTAGATAGTATATTGCATTACTTGTTTCAATTTTTGTTTTATTATATTAGCAAATATAAATTATAAGTTATAAATATTCTCAACACTGCTAAATTACATGGTTGTAACAATAGACTATTCATAATTTAATAGGTTATTTGACATTGTTGCTGTTACTATGGTTTTGTGAATTCAAGAGTATAAGAACTACAAATCAATTCATAAATACAAGCCAAGGAACAAATGTTACTATTGATCAAAGAACTTGGATAAAATGAGAGAGATACAATGGATATTCATTTTTGGCTCAATGTTTTTAAAATAATATGCATGCAAGCTATATAATTTATTTCTAAGATTGGTTCAATTAATGGGGAATTTTGAATTCTGTTTTGCATTTTTGAAGTTTATAACTCCAAACCAGCTGTATAACTATGTGACAAAGTTCAGATTGAATTATGCAATAGACTAAGTGTTGAGAAACTATGAGTGAGATTGAGCAAATCTTAGTTTTATTTAAGAAAACAAGGCTACTGATTGCCAAACATAATAAAAACTTATGTTTAAAATTTGCTAAAGAATATTGTTAGCAAACCTCTGCAGACTGCGTGAAAGTTATTTTTACAAATGGGTCTGAGTTTAATTGATTGAATTTTAATGGAAAAACTTTTATGTTGGATAACATGTTATCCAAGAATTTTCTGCAAAATCTATAAATTCGACTATGGAGGGTTCAGAGGGATTTTTAAATTTTTTAGAAATGATGCTACAAAGCATAGATCTTATTGATGGAGTAAACATAATTATAGATCAATTAAATGGGACTCTGTTTTTATTTACAAACAATCAAACGTCAGTGGCTTGGATTATATATACTAACAATGATATTGAACATATGGTTTGCAAGATAAAACAATTTTTAAGTGTGAGAGATATAACGATTTTACTTTCTCAACTTCCCCATTTTTACGACTATGTTACAAACAATTTCGTACAATAATTTTTGTCAGTTTCAATGTGTACGCAATACCGCGAGTGCTTTCGAAAGCGTATAGGAAGTTTTAGATCAGAGGTTGGCAACCTGCGAAATCATTTGATCTTACAGTCTTCGAACGAAAAGTCATAGCCCTTGAATGGCGATGATTTTACAAAATAATTCAAAGGTTTATTTCGGTTTTTTGTTTGGTTTAAACTAAATCTCTAGGGACTTTATATTTTAATGATATGGACTGATGAAGGTGGTAGGTGTTAGAGTAAAAACTTAATATTATTATCCCTCTCGCTGTAAATGTTATTTTTTTTTTAGAACCATAGTATAAAATTATATCTTACGAGTTGGGGTTCAGAGTCTACGAACCGATGTTTTACCGGGTCCAGAAGCCACTGAATAAGAATGGAATTTTGTAGACAAACTGACGTGCAGGTAGATAATACCGAAAGCTCCGGGATAAGCTGGTTTTCCTGAACAAACCAGTGACAGGCTAACACCCGGAAGTCACCGGGATGAAGACGATTTTCGTGGACATACCGATATGTGGCTTACACCGGGGGCCACAAGATGATTAGGTTTCGTGAACGAACTAACGCTAGGAGCTACTAGAGTTAAATAGTTAAGCCTTCGTAACTTTATAGGGATATACAAAGGCGAACATATTCTTAGAAACACTTGTTAACGTTAGATTCTCTTGTCGGTGCTATCGTATAAGAAGGATATATGAAGAAACATGTTATTAAGATTGTTTAGATATTGCCTCCGAAAATCCGCCATTGCAACATAATTTACTCCACTGCATATTCGTAGGAATAAGAATAAGAAAACACAAACTGTTTTAATATCAAAATTGAACTTCTAGACCGAAATACCCCCTTAAATATTTCAAATGAATATACAAGTGAACGTATCATTAAGGTTAGAAATACATAATCAAAAGAAAAAAAACTCTCAGTTAGGTTCCGACTGTCGTAACGATAAGATCTCTGTTCGCGAGTGCCGCTGTGTTTATGTTTACGCTACCACTGATTTAATTCCGTTTATCCACTTTATCAGTTGTAGTGTTTGAATTGATGCAAAATTTATTAACGAGTGCTGAACTGCAAGTGGGGGAAATGATTATGAATACAAGGATTATTATAATCCTGTTTCATACGCATCCAAACCAATGAAATCATAAATTTCACCAAGCGATAGTTATGGGAATCTTAACTTAATAATTCTAAAATAACTTCGTCTCGCCTCGTACTGTACGAAAGTAAGGCAAAGTCTATTTGTTTTTGTAAATGTCTGTGATATCTCGCCCTTGTTTTTTCGATTGTACAAATCATGTTCAACGAATACTGACACTTCATTTCTGTCGCGAGATTCACGGATGTAAACCAATTATCGCGTGTCACGGAACGTTATGGATTGACTCCGTTAATTTTTCGACATCACACGACGGCACACTGTCTCGTGTTATCATTCGTCCAACATATGGCTCAGTATTTATCATCTATGATGTCTCTGTATCATTACACAAGACAACCTTTATCCCTTATTTATCAGGTTTACTCACGGTATATACTCAAACACGGCCGCGAAAACCTACAATAACAGTTTAATTTTGAACTTTATATATTCTGTCTTGAATTCTTTTGGACAGAGTGCAAGGAAATTATATGTATGTATAAAGTTATCAAAATTGATCTTGACCTATAAAAATATGCTGAAATTTTTTTATTGCATCGCACTCGTCGTGAGGATAAAAAAAGTCCTTTTGAAAAATGTTGCTGGAAGTTTTAATAACTTTCAAACGGACTTTATTGGCAAACTTTCACACATTTTACAGTTGGATAAATGGTCAGTTCTCATTGATACTGAAATCTTCTATCGTTTAGAATGACGCGATATTAACACGTTCACTGCCCTGGTGGTCACAAGTGACCGGCACTTTGAGCACACGCGTTACAATATTGTTTACAATGGAAGAGCCTTAATAATGGTATATAAATAACGCTACTTCCACTAGGAACGTTATAAAATAATAGATACATCGTTGAATTATCGAATATTTCTATGCTTCACCCAAAGAATAATTTCCATCTGCTTCGCCGATAACACTCTGTTTACTTTGTGACTAATTGTCCGATTGCAAGCTGTAAGAACGTTGGCCGATAAAGTCTGTTTAAGAATTATTGAAACGTTAACGCACATTTTTCAAGAGAACGGTCGAGCCACGATCCATGGCTCTTTCGAGAGTTTTTCTCCTCGAGTAGAATACGACGCAATGAAAAAAGTTTGATCTCGATTTTTTAGGTCGAGGTCAATTTTGAGGCAACTTTTCTTGGTGTAGAATCTCGCTGTAACGATCGTGGCAGGAAAGAACTGACAGCGAGAGACAATTAGAGGAACATTCTGCCCTGGAAGGTCAATTTTTAACCTTTTCTCGGCCCTTTTTAATTTCTTCCAAAAAAGATTCTCGTGTATGATTCATAGAATGACTGTTACATCGGACTTAATTAAATATTTTAACAGTTTCATTTGACCTCCGATATACTCTGATACACGCTGAAGTAAACTGAGAAACCTTGGCACATTCTCCTGTCCGTTGCAAAAATATTCATTCAGCCTATACATGAACCATGATCCTTTCGCTCAATCACCTCTCGTCCCGCTAACGTTTCTCTTAACTTTCTGTTGATTCTGTGAAACGTGGATCTCAGGTACACGAGAAGAAGTGTACCACTTTTCTCCTTTCCAAACAGGTAGTTCAGTGCTTATTTGTTGCTTATCGCTCCCCTTCTACTCTTTTCAGAGCCACCTGGTTTTCCGGGTACCATCGTCTCTCTTATTTCCTCTCCTATCCTCTTGAGGAGTACTTGCCTGTATATTTTATACAAGGTAAGCATTTGCGTGACCCTCCCGTCATACATCTTCACCCCTTTTCTTCTTTTCACTATTGGTACAATCGCCCCATCCTTTCGCCTTTCCACTCTGCGTTACGGAGGGTGCGGTGGAATTCTTGATGCAACTGAAAAGTGAGGGATTCCACGTTGAAAAATGCATTAATAATTTGCTACAAAGCAGTTTGAATTATTTATACGCGTTATAAATTTCACATATGGTACTTGCAAGAACATTGAAAATAAATCAGTCATATACAGAGTGTTCGGCCACCCTTGGGAAAAATTTTAATGGGAGATTCTAGAGGTCAAAATAAGACGAAAATCAAGAATATCAATTTCTTGATGGAAGCTTCGTTAGAAAGTTATTAAAAGATTAAATTAAAAAATTTCAAATCATTCACGGAAAATTTATTTTTGGTTGCGGGGATCAATTACAATTACTTTTGGTGAATACACATACCTTCGAAATCTTAACCATTTTCGAGAAAAAAATTCCTTATCGAAAATATAATTTCAGGCCAGAAATGTCACTCCAAAATTTCATGCGTATCTTTAAAACGTCATAACTTCTGAACGGATTGAAGGATTTTAATGTTTAAAAATGCTAATAACGCGTATTTTAGCGAAGAATATATAGAAATTCTAACATTATTGAAAAAGTTGTTCCTTGACCCCGTAAAACGAGAAAACCCTATAAAAATAGTCCAATTTTCAAATAGCCATAACTCCTACAATAGTGAATATATCTCAATGAAACTTTTTTCTGAAGTAGATATCATGGGTACCTGCAAAAAAGTATTAAACAACTTTTCTGTAGAGCGTCAAATAAAATTACTAAAAATCATAAACGAATTTCTAAGAAAAATCGACAGGAGTGCCTAAATTTTTCGACGAAAAAATAACTTTCAAATCGTTCTAAAAAAATTATTTTCGGTTGCGGGGGTCAATTACAATCACTTTTGGTGAATACACACACCCCCGAAATCCTACGCACTTTCGAGAAAAAAATTCTTTACCAAAAATATACTGTGTGGCCGGAAATGTTTCTATGACTTTTTAACGAAGCCTCATTCAACAAATTAGTATTCTTGATTTTTGCCTTATTTTGGCCTCTAGTATCTCCCATTAAAATAATTCCCAGGGGTGTCCGAACACCTTGTATAGATATATTTTGTATTGAATTATTTACACGCGTTATAAATTGTATGTTAACTAGGCTGGTACATAATTACAAGAACACAACCAAGTCGGGATTTTTTCAATTATTCTGTGGTCCATCGGCTGTAAAATAGACGCTGCATTCGCCGGAAGGAATTGCACTCGAATCTCATCGGTCTCGTCTTTGTTTTTTCTGGCGGAATGCGCTGTACAATTATCTAGTAACAGCAGCATTTTTCCACGAGTACCGCTTTCAATTGTCTTTTGACGTTGGTTTAAAATGGTTCTCAAACTAATCCATCGAAAATAATCGGCAATCGATTCTCGCGATGCTTCAGGACCCCTAAAACTCAATCTTTTATAGTTGTAATATTCTCATTGCAAACAGAAATTTGAATATCAACGCAATTTCGAATTTTTTGTTTCGTTCCAGCTTTACGAAAGTGTCTAATGTTAATCGATTCGCGAGTTCTCGGGGATAAAAATGAATCTAAATAGGATCATGTTTGGATTATTTTTAGCTACAGTTTTCAAAAGACATTCGATTTTGTATGAATTAAAAATAGTCCGGGCAAGGTCGTGTTGGAACTCATTTTCATCGTGGAAACCTCACCAACCTATTGATAATGCTTTTACGAAGATACACCAAGAAACGCGAAAGCTTTTAGTTTGCATTAATAGTGGCCATGTAGCCTTTGTAGTTCAGCCAACCGGGTTTCAAATCTACAGTTGCCAACCTTTCGGAGTCAATGTGTCTCACACCGAAAAACAAAATAGCGGCGGGGATGATTTATTATCCGAACGAAGGAGAACAAATTCGTTTGTAAGTGGAGAGCGTGAAATTTGATTAATCTTTGGGAAAGAAAATAATTATTCACTTTCTCTATACGATTCTGAATGTGGGGATCTCGACTATAAGAGAAGTTTTTCTGAAAACCGGAGGAAATTGAAGAGTCTTAAATTGGGAAAATCAAGTCAACAAAGGCGCGGTATTCGTTTACGATGAATTTAGGGCAATTTCACGAGCAAATTTATCAAATTTATCGACGCAGTGTACCGAAAGATTACTTCAAGCATCGACGTATTAATTGCAGAATTTTAAGCACGGTATCAAGAAAAATGACAATATTTTTCGATGTAAACGCGAGATATTAGATTGAAAGCTACGGCGAAAATAATATTTTTAATACTGACCAGAGTGGTTTCCAGTTGAAAATGCACTCTGGTAGAACGTTATCGCATAAGAGTGAGAAAGGACAAGTGCTGCAATAAAGCCCGTGTCAGCAATCGCTCATAGTTATACTATCCAACCTGCAATTTCAGTCGGCGATCAGTTACTCTCGTTCGTCGTACCGATCGCATTTACTGTTCCAAAGATATTGAAATTTCCACGCCGGGGAAGATAATAAAAAATGAAATTTTTCTGTCTATGAACGTTCGAGTTGCGTCAGACGTTTTCTTTTGTCCATTTCTTTTTCAGTTGCACGCTAGACATCTGAAGAACAGATAACAAGGCCCATTATTAAAATGAAAAAAATAATTAATGCATCGAAGAACATAATAACCATTTTACTTCCATCTGGTTATTTAGTGTTCGGGTGTTAACAGATAAAATAGGGGAAGCGAGGTATTCGCATCATTGAAATTGTAATATTGACCGAGCTAAATATATACGCATTGAATGCTGAAGGAACAAAGCTACTTGTCGCTTCGTTTTATTTGTTCTCTAGTCCTTGCGGAGTTGAATAGACTTTCAGACGACTAAAACGGGAAAGACGAAATGAAACGAACGGCGTTTATGTTTCAGACGTTCAGACATGGGTTTCCACATCAGCCGACAGCAGTGGCGTTCGATCCGGTTCAGAGGCTCCTTGCGATCGGTACCAAATCGGGATCCCTCAGGATGTATCCTTTGAGAATTTTTAAATATGATAATGGACGATTACGCAAGCGAAATGTAAATGCTAATCTGAATATTCATTACAGCTTTTTCGCCTGATGTTTTTCACACCGTCCCTCTTTATCATTCTAATCGGAAAGCTAGGGTAAATACTCCGGTCTCGATTTTAATTTCATTTCGTCATGGAACGGTAAAATAAAGTACGAGGGTTGCTTAAAAACACGGTGAATTATTTTGTTTTCTCCGCGTGTGGATTGCCCCCAACGTTTTCTCCGTTACTTGAAATAGTTTATAGCTTCTTGCATAGTTTGTTTTCGAATAGAAACTTTAAGGCTGGTTTGCAAACAAATGAAGAAAAGGACGTAAGAAATCTATTGCGATACTTGGATGAGGATAGCAGAGTTCTTCGAGCAGCGAAAACTATACTAACGAAGATGAATTTATGTCGCCGTATGGGGAAGAAGAGTATCATAGTAATAGTTGTCGTGCAGGAAAATTATCTAAGAGAATTGAATTTTTTTCTTTATTTTTCTATACTTAATTCTGTTTTGTTTTCACAGTAATATGTCGAAGAATTTGTAATAAATTGGTAAAGAAATTTAGCGAACAATAAATACGATTTTTATGATTTTATCTCATTTATGAAAAAAGGGCACGTAAACCAACTTTTATGAAAGTTTAAAAAAAGAAATGTCCGTTTCTAGAACATTTAGGGCATACTACTGTGTTAAGAAAAAATTCTTTATTATTGAATCGCATTAAATAATTCCTTTAATTGAAAACTTTGAATTTTCTCGAAATGGCATTTTCATGTGCGGTGCTCTTTTTCCATCCAGTGCCTCGATTGTAGTCTTTCGTGCAAACGTTTAAAAAGAAGAATTCTGGTTATTTTTGGGTATCCCCTCGTATATGGGTCATTGTCAACCAGGTCACCCCTTTGCCCAGAATAGTTTTTGATTTAAAGCTTTTTTCGGGGATGCAAAATGCATATAAGCTCTCGAAAACCGTATGCCATTTTTTGGTATTGAAAATAGCCGTTCCAATATAGCGAAAATTAATTGCAAAAATGACATGTTTTACAGATAAAGCCATATCGAATCGATTTTCAATTTAAATAAGTAAACATATATTTTCCTATTTTTACACTACTTCGCAATCGAAATTAAAATGAATGAAATTTATAAATAAATTAATAAATTATTTTTATTTTTCAATTGCAAGAGGTATTTATGGTAAAAATATTGAAAACACATAAACTGTAGGCACCGTTGTGTATTTCATGCAAGCTCGAGTGTCACAGCTAGCTTGACAACACTTATTTTATTGCATCTATTTTTTTCATAATTGTTCCACGAAAAAATACAGCTCTGGAATTTCTATGGAAAAATTATTTGCGATTGTTACAGTATTCCAAGTGGCATACGAAATCGACATTGACCTTATCTTTTTGTGCTCCTTGCTAGAGAGTACTTTTCACATAACTGATCGACAGTATCGGCGCCTATCTTCGTCATACTATAAAAGGAAAAGAAAACATCTCTACAATCAGCCGATCCGTTCTGTCGGAAAGTTCATTCACCCGTGCATTCGTTGGAAATTTTCTCGATACTATAGTGTAAATAATCTATAATTTCCACTTCAGTGGGATCTCACGGACCGACCTCACTGTCTCTTTATTTTACAATATACACAATACCCTGGCTAGGAAGACACTGACGGTACGTTGACACATGCATAGTGATTCACTTTTCGACAGTATACAAAAGCTCGTGCACCAGATATTATGGAATCACTGGTTAATAAATACTACAGTGATCATACCGAAAGTATCTTTCTTCCCTAATTGTTATGATCAAAATAAAGAAAAGTTATAAGGTAGCAATTATCTTTTCTGACCAAAGTGTTTTTAATTATGAATAACGATTTTAGGCGACTGGACATTTTTTCCCCATTGACGATAACCATTACGGACGAGGGATATTTATTTGCTTATAATAATTATAATTCTAAAACTTGCGTTATTGCAATAAACATTGGACTCAAATATTCAGAATATCCATTTATTTCTCCATTCATAAAATAATCAATATTTTACAATTTTATAAATCTATAACCAGTGAAATATTATTGACCTACATACGTTTATAACCATCAGGGACTATTTAATATTTCATGTTATTAATTACAGGAGTTATAGAAGTTTAAGTTAATTATGGAGTGCAGTTGTTGACATAATTAAACTTAAAAGTAGTTGTCTAGGATTCTATGAGATATGGGAGTTATAGAAGTTTAAGTTAAGCTATATTATTGAATGCAGTTATAGTCGAAGTCATTAAACATAAAAATTGTTTGTGATTGCGTGAAAACTTCACATTACTGTGTATTAGAGTCAGATGGAACACGGTCGGTGAGATTTTCTTGCGAAATACATTTTCACAGCGGGTAATTTCCATTCGATTATTAGTTTCGATGCAGAAATTTACTCGACATGAACGAAATTGTTACATTTTATTGTATTCATTACACAGCGCAGTTGTTTCATGGTTCGTCAACCATGTGTTCTTTCACGTGGTTGCTTCTATTGGTCTACTCTAAAGAGTTAACAGAGGGTGGATGTTCATCACGGCTCGATAAGCTTCCTGGTTGGTATCGAGACAGGCAGTCGCTACAAAGTAACTACTTTCAACTGAACGGTGCGCTTTGTTGTCCAGTACAATATCCGAACACCCTCGGTACAAGGGAATCGATCTTCGTATCAGGAATACAGAAAATCAATGGTTGCACCAGGTTGTAATAAGAAAAAAAAACGAAAATAATTAGTCGATTTCTATAACTGACTTCTTGGATTTTCATTTACAGTGCCGAACAAAAGTATTGCCACACTTACTATTTTATAATACAATATTCAAATTAATATTTTGTTTGTAATCCTTTTTGTCTTATTACACTTTGTAACCGATTAGGCATCGAATGTACTAAATTTTGTGTTACTTCTGAACCGATTTCGTTCTATTCCTTCATAAGTGTATCTTTTAATTGCTCTTTTGTCTTAATAAGGTGTTTTCGGATCTTTCTTTCTAACTCATTCCATATGTGTTCAATCGGATTTAAATTCGGCGATTGAGGAGGGGTTGGCAATGTATGGGGTGTATTAAAAACAATCCATTGGCGGACAATATAAGCAGTATGCTTGGGATTATGATCTTGTTGGAAATAGTAGTTTTCCTGAAGATTTAATTTTTCCACACTTTTTTTAAGTTTTGTTTCAAAATATTTAAACATACAAATTTATCCATAATACCGTCTATAAAAACTAGTTCTCAAAGTCCAGAGGAACTCGTACAACCCCATACTAATACACTACCATCCCCGTGTTTAACAGTTGAAACTATGTTATGTGAATCCAACTCGGTATTACGCTTTCGCCATATTCTTATTTATTTAATATAAATTTTTGTGTACATACATTTCTGCAAACTCTAATCTGTTTTTTCGATTAATTTTGCTGATCAATGGTTTTCTTCTAGCCACTCTTGAATTGTACCCGGCACTTTTAAGAACTCTCCGGATAGTTGTAGGATGTACATCTACCTTATTTTCACTTTTCATTTGTGCCGCTATTTCTGTAGAGGCAACTTTAAGATTTTTTTCTACAATCTTGGTAATTTTTCGTTTATCTCGTTCTGATCATTTCTGTGGACGACCACTTCGCGGAAGATTTTTTACATTTTGTTCGTCAGGAAACCGTTTAACGATATTTATTACGGTGAAACGACTTCTATTTACTATTTCAGCTATTGTAGAATATGAATTTCCCTCTTTTGATCATTTTAATATAATTTTTCTCTCTGAAATTGTTGTTTCTCGTGTTTTTCGATACATTGTTGTGTTATTCACTTTATTACAGACAAACTTAGTAAGAAATAACAAATGAATATCAAATTGAATCTCGGGACTTCCCTGGATACAACAGCCATGCCAATATTATAAATATTTACATAAGTGTTTCATAGAAATATTAAATTTACAAGTGTGCCAATACTTTTGTTTCGTCGAAAACTGTCCTCTGTGTATTTGTTACTATTTTTTATTATTGCAGGTCTACTTAATCGCTTTATTTCGCGAGATACTTAAAGTTCAAACCCCAAACTTATATTTTATACCAAAAATAAAGAAGACGTTGTGCTTTATTCACAGCTACATAACATTTTATTTGAAAATACAGTCTGTGCCAATACTTTTGTTCGGCACTGTATATTAGTTTTCACGTCAAAGATGACTTCTTCGTTGTCGCAAGTTAAAATTAAGAATAACAGGAAAGTAAGATCATCCTTGAACTCAATCGTAGTTGCACGTGCCTATAGAGTTTAATTCAAATCGTTATATTTCCTCGTCAGTCACAAATCTTTTATTTATTATAGTTATGTAGATAAGATATTACTTCTATCACGTAACCGGGATATATACTCACTTCCGGTTTTCGGTGTTCAACACCTACACTTATAATTTATGATATAGTGTTATAAAAAATGGCGGCCTTAATATGTTAGATCTAACATAGGGTTTCCAAAATGCTTTTTTCTTCAAATACTGGGACATTTTAAAATAAAAATAAATCTATTTATATTGCATGTATATTGCACTTTAAATACCATGTTGGTATAAATACACATACAGTTTGAAATAGTATATTTTTCTTAATTAAGACGTTAACAAAAACCAGTCTCGGTCGACCAGGTGTGGATGCACACGTTAAACACGAGGGATGCACAGCTGTGATACAATTACAATTTTTGATCAACGAGGGAGCTTTAGTGTCCGCCACCGCGGACGATACTTTGCACCTATGGAACTTCCGGCAGAAAATACCACAGGTTGTGCAGAGTCTCAAGTTCCAAAGGGAAAGGTCAGTTTTCGTTAATTCCCGCGTTTAATTAAATTTTAATAACGCAAATAAATAGTTGTGAATTTTTTTTATCTCATCGTTTTGTTGCAAATCGATATCTTCGTCACTTTTAACGATAGGGGGAAACTTTCAAGTTACAAATTGTTCGATTCGAAGGAATTATGATCTCAAGATCATATTTTTCGGGATTTCCAGGCTCTCATTATTTATTTAAACAAGCTGTGTATTTTTCAAACGTCGTGAAATATTTTGTAAATGATTTTTCTGGTCGATGCATTTTGTCATTTTTTAAAGAACTTTACAGATTTGGCTCTCCAAATTCATCCCTCACAGATCAAGTTCACCCTTTTGCAAATTGAGTTTTTCTACAAATTAGTTTCCTTGAGCCATTGCATAAAAATTGTAGTATGTAAAAATAGTTTCATAACTATTGATAGCTATAGGTAGATATATTATTTGGCTTTTGAGTTTACCCACAAAGTGAATTTAATTTGCAAAATGGTGAATGTGATCCGTGAAAAAGTTGATTCGAGGTGCAAAGTCTGTATTAGGCAAGCGATGACAATGAACTGTTGAAAATGATAAAGTTATCATTTATTTTCGAACAGAATAACGTACATCCATCTGCCGCTACAAAGTAAATGGCTGTATGTTGGCACGGAAAGGGGAAACATTCATATACTACATATCGAGACGTTTGTCCTCTCTGGATATGTAATTAATTGGAATAAGGCTATCGAAATGTAAGTACACAGATACTTATATTCACCAATTAATTATAGGTATGATTCATAATGATCAGAGTCATACGTACAGAATAATATGAAATAATAAAAAGAACAAACTATGCAATTGACATAGTTTTCAAATGAAATTATGTCCAGTATTTTGCTTTAATTATTCCAGGGAAGTAATTTCTGTCTCATACTAGATTTATCGATCCACCTACGTCAGTAATATACGATAGAAATAACTAAAAAATTAGATCTTCCCACAAGTGGAACGAAATACTTTTCAACAATGATTTTATCAAGTTTTCAGATCGTTATGTAATAAAATTTTTAAATATATTGATTAATTTGTTGAAGGAAGATTCTTTATTAGACTTTCCAGGACATACGTTAGATGTTTCGACTAAATGAGACCACCTAAAAATCCAGCTTATTTATTGTTGTACAAAAAAATTTCTTAGGACATTCGTCAAAATTGTTTCGTTGTTTGACAATCACATTTGAACAATGCGTCTTATTTCTTCCATTTCAGTTATTTACCGAAATAAAACGGCGCGAATTAAAAATTCTCGCAGGAATTTAAAAATGTCTATCTACGAATAAAAATAGAAATATAAAAGTAACAGAATTTCCCTGCAGAACAATTCCCATTCCATTCCAAAGCCAGACCAGTTTACAAATTAGGCCATAAAGATCATAATCCCGTCGCGGGGATTATTAATAAAAATGTAAGGAACCCGCCGGTTCCTCAAATATTGAATAAATTACCATTTTTTCGAATCAGACGATGATGCAACGATTGCATGGTGCCATTTTGTCGATCTAAATGGAAGCGTCGCGAATAGATCGGGGTTAACGTATTTTTTTAATGGAATGGTTATTTATTTACCTTGCGTTACTCGCGAGGAAGTGCTATTTTTGTGATAAATTAATATCACAGGAGTTGAACGAAGAAGTTGTGCTCTGGTGGTGTGGTGCATGAGTGTGATTTTAAATGTGTTGTAATAAACTAAATATATCTTAGGTAATGATACTGAACGAACATACAGGAATTATCTCGTAACCGAGATGACTCCATTTCGAGCGAAGTTGCCCAAAATGTTCAAGTAGAATCATTTTGTTTGTAAAAGATACAAGACTAGGTCATCGACAATAGTTTTGAAGATATTTTATTTTGTTTTCTTTTTTTTTTATATATATATATCGCAACTCTGTTTAAACGCTAACAACTTCAGAAGTTTTTCAAATTTTTAAAAGTAAATATTGAAATTTGAAAAATTTCTAATATTACAAGCCCTTAACACTAAAATGCGATTTTTCTTTTAATTAGAATATATATTTACATCGTTACGTTATTGAATCCGTCGTTTTTTGTTAGTCGCCCTACCCTGGAGCTCTTCTAGATCCGCTATTGAGCACATGGATCCGATATTCAAAGTAGATTACTTCGAGAACGAAACCTCGTCCAAAAAGGCTTTTATTTTTGCATATAGAATCAGCTCTTCTTTCCTCCAACCGTGGGACACTATACATTATAAAGCATAGACTTTTCGAGAGGAAAAATAAAATAATGTAAATAAACATAATAAGTGTAATACTATAGAACGCTGTTATTCGAATTTGCACAGCAATTATTGAACGTAAATTAAGGATTATAAGATAGTATTATACGAATATACATATATCTGCATAGATATATAAATATAATAGATATACGTACACAAATACGATACCTTAGTCACTTACCACACGGACATCCACACACACAGATATTATATATGTATATATATTTTTCAGATCTAGAAAGACCCATCCTGGTGCTGTAGTACACTTGAGTGATAACCCTTTAGATTTGAGCAAGGTACGCGTGTTTTTGAGTACATTTTATTTTGCATTATTCTCCATCCTTACCATAAACGTTATATCTTCAATTCTTGGAAATTCTGTCGACAATAATTAAATCAAATTACAATGTGTTAGGATATTTTCAACGTTCATTTTAAAATGTATCAAGAATATCATGTTAAATATTATTAAAAGGATCAGAGTGTGTGCTTGCATGTTGTGTGTATGCATGCGTGCATGCTGCCATTGTTCTAAAGGATTTCATGGAGCTGTTTCTCTAACAAAGTCGCATAACTTCTTTTCTCACGTTACGCAAATATATTTGATTCAAAAGTTATGTAATTCGACCATAAAATGTGCTTATCGTTCGACTGGCAATATAACAAATTTTTAAATTGATTCCAATCGAAAGAAAAACAGAAAATATATTTCTTACGATTTTAATTATTATAAGATCAGTTTGACGTTTAACATGAAACTTAACATATATTAACATACACACGTCTGACATTTTTTAACGAGCAAAACTTCTTTTCCTTGTTCTTTTCCTGCGTAGGTGGCTTTATTTCTTTTTTCATGGTGTTATTGTATTTTACAGATAGTCGTTCCTTCTATATTTAGGGTAATTTACGTTTCATTCTATCTTGATGTTTTATAGCGATGTTGTGGTAGTCTCAAAATGTATTAGGCAATTCACGAAAACTTGCAATCGCAATCATTCATCTGTTTATGTACATTACACCAATTTATCATTCCTATAAATCCATTGGTATCATAATGTTTACATTTGTATGTACATATACAGGATGTCCCTAACGATATTTCAAATGAGTCCTGGACCTCTTATACAATTAATTAGCTTTGTTTAATTACTGCTAGATTCGAAATTCCAGTTCCTTCAGTATATTTAATAATAGTTTCATTATATATTACTGTAATTCAATGTTTTTATGTTTTTGAACGTTATCAATCTTGTTTGAGTTAATCCTGATAAAAGAAGTTTCATTTGAATATAATAATATTACTTTGAAAATAATCCCATTTTTATTGCACGTCTTTTAAAATAATTGTAAATAAAATCACACCTGTCCCACAGAAAATTTTAGCATTAACGGTGGCCAGTGTATTAATAGTGTATCCCTGTCATATCTACCCTTAATTATCATAAATAGTCGGAGGATTAGGTCTCTAAAAAGGTTATACATATTTGTATTACTTAACAATGGCAGAGAAAAGAATAGAAATAAACTCGGTAAAAGGAACAATAAAACATGAAAAGCAAGAAGCTTGCAAAAATAATTAGTGTTCTTAATTTTGTATTCGTGACACGTTCACTTTTAATTATCGTGAATTGTTGAGGTTTAGATTATATTTTTGTTCGGTTTAGAGCAAAGTACGAGAGGGTCAGGTCTCTAAAAAATTTACATGAATTTGTATTACGCGATAATGACATAGAAGAGAATTAAATAAAGTCGTTAAAGGAAATACTACAAATAAATAACATTTTTAGTGTTTTTATTCGATCTTTTTTTAGTTTTACCTTCATTACTGTGGATAATCGAACCTCTGCTGTAATTTCCGCGTTATTTGTGAAATAAAAATGCATTCCATTCTGGGATATCCTGTATTTTCAATACGGAATATTGCATTCCCTGTCACTTATCTCCCATTATATGTGTGTACGCGCATATATACTGTAGTATTGACATTTTATGTCATTTGTGTCAATATTCGCATATGCTGTATGCAAGCATTGTCTACTTCGGTGTTGTAGGCGATCTGTTTAATCATTTTCATGCTTGAAGGCATTTAATTACAATAAACTTTTGGAAAATTAAAATCTGCAAACTTAATTTTTTCGCACAGCATAATATACATTTATTATTGTTAACTAATATTCTATTATTTACAGTCAGAAATTAATATTACACGGTGAAATAGCTTATATGTTTAATAACGTCCATTCTATGTATGTGGTGTGACGCTAGAGCGGTAAAATGTGAACAAATATCGACTACACATTTTTCGAAAGAAATGGAATCATGCATAATGAATCATTTACGTATTCCAGCACTTTTTCTAATAATAGTCGTTACAAATTTTAGATATTTCGTTTCCACAGTTCATCGCAATGCATGTTAATAACAAACATGCACGTTCTAGTCAGTTTTCTGGAAGTCCTCGGTTTATTAGAAATTCATTCATCTTTCATGTTTCGATTCATGATTACACAAGTGTTTCAATGATACTGTTGATCGGTATCACTTAAACTCTAATCCCTTAGAAATTCTAAGAACCACTCTGCACCACATTCTAGAGGTGTCCAAGTGCTTGAAAATAGAAGCCAACTCAAACTTAGCTTGGAATTGTTTGGATCAAGTCAAGTATTTGATTGTTTAAGCAATCTTGACTATCCAAGAAAACTTGATTATGTATTTTTAATAATAAAGTTTCCTTCGATAAGATTTGGGTAAACTTAAATAAAGTCAAGTTTAATTATGATAGCTCTAGAAATGAAAACAAAATTTTGTTCATCACGTTCAATTAATAATCTTTCGTTATATATCCGACTAGATGGTATTTTCTCAAGTTTTATGTAATACTCCAGTTGCTTGGATAATCGAATACATGGTTTGAAAAAATGAGTTTTGCCTTGGTGCGAATTTCAAGTACTCGAACAGCTCTACCACATTCATACTTATTCTCGTTGTGTGTACGTAACTTGTATCATAATTTTACAATAAAATATAGAACCGTATTGCGAGACTTTGTTACAGATATTCATAAACAACTTTCTCCTTATGTGTAGACGGTTAAGAAACACGTATGTACATTGTCGATCGAAATATTTGTTCTTTATGCGTTCAAATTCTGTTTTCAGATGCTGATCGGATACGAATCAGGTCAAATAGTATTTTGGGATTTAAAAACAAAAAATGCGGATTACAGATGCCAAAGCGACGTGCCCTTAAAGTCCATAACGTGGCATCATGAGGGTAAACAGTTTATGTCTAGTCATACTGATGGTTCTCTGTCAACATGGACGGTGCGCCAAGTGAAACCTACAAACGTCACGCATCCACACGGTAAATATCTATTTGTAAATTGCATGATATAATAGTAATAGTAATAGTAATAATTGAAATCGTAAAAAATTCGTTATTCATCTTGCTCTCGTTTGGAAAAGTATCTTAGAACCAGTTCAAACAAAATAGTCTTAGAACGATATATTTCGAGTTATAGGATTTTGTAATTGGTAACTATCAAAAGAAATTTTTTTTAACAAATAGACAATCAAACAGTTAGGTATAATATTAATTGTAATACTACGAAAAAACAAAAAAATCTATACCAAAATAGTGGTACGTCACGAATAGTTGCATTCACATATTTATTACAGCAAAAACTACTAAAGACGGCGAACCAGAACCGTGCAAATTAATTCAAAAAGTTGAGTGGAAGCTTTCTAGATCGGGGTAAGACGTAATTAATATTTTCTTCGATTTTCTACATTAATCGATTAGCTTGAAAATATGAAATTTCGACGTTTACGTAATTCTATAATTCTACAAATTTCACACATCGTGAGATCTCTTTATTGTCATTTTTTTTTATAAGTAGAGATACATCAAATTTGGATAAAATTATATTATTCTCGTTGACATAGGGAAGCATACGTTATATTTTCCGGTGGCTTAGCGTACGATACAACTGGACGAACTCCAAGTATAACGGTCATACATGGGAAGACCACCACTGTACTCGAAATGGAACATAATGTGATAGACTTCATAACACTGTGTGAAAGTCCATGGACCAGTGGTATATAAAACAATTATCAACTTTTCTTCCTTTAAATTCGCCAAAAATAATAACTTATCGACGATAACTAGCTGTTGCATGGGAATATGCACATTTCGATTAATTTTTATAAAATTGATAAAAATGGGGTTGCTCCATTTATATATAATCCTAATTTTGGTAGTGTAATGTCAATAATGGTAACAAATAATTCCGTTTTCATTTGTACAGATTATCAGGATCCATATGCTGTTGTCGTTCTACTACAAAATGATTTGGTTGTGATAGATTTGTTAACTCCCGGATTTCCGTGTTTCGAAAATCCGTATCCGATGGATATACACGAGTCGCCCGTGACGTGTTGTGCGTACTTTGCAGACTGTCCTTCGGATTTAGTGCCAGCTTTTTATTCGGTCGGATCGAAATCTCAGAAAAAAACAGGGTTCAGTGAAAAGGATTGGCCGATATCCGGCGGAGAATGGAGTTCAAGCTCAAGTAGTTATAATGAAATTATTGTTACTGGGTGAGTATTCATATTTAAAGCAATAACTGATGGACAATTAACTGGTTGAAAATACAGCAGATACGATTCATAAAATGTTTTATAAAACGTGGATCCTTGAAAGCAGGAATTTCGTAATTATAAAGTTGCAATGGTAAAATAAATCGTGCAGCTCAGAAAATAAATAAGTTCGTTATTTTTTAAAGTTGTTTTCTCGATACAAGTCATTAATGTTATTCTTAATATGGAGGGCGCCAATTAATCGACGTTGGATACAATAAGTAATTTTATACGATACTGACAGCATGCAACAACAAAAATGTTTCAATTATAGGCATGCTGACGGTAGTATAAAATTTTGGGACGCTTCCGCGGGCACTTTACAAGTCCTTTACAAACTGAAGACGGCGAAACTTTTCGAAAAAGGTAGAACGCGTAGTATAGATTCGGAAGAAGATCCGTTGGCGATACAGCTCATCTTCCTTTGCCCCGAAAGTCGGAAGTTAGCGATCGCCGGAAGCGGAGGACACGTTGTTTTGTTTAAATTCAAAAAAGTAGAGAGTATGTCCGAAGTAGTGGTGAGTAGTCTACTTTTTACCAAACTTTTTCAAAACAATTATTTCATTTTCACCCTTAGTGCTAGATCTACACACATGATGATTAATAACTATCGAAAACCTGAAAATCTATGTTCATTCTGAGTACTCATTTACTCGCTTTCGACAGTTCCAAACATTGGTGTTGCACCGTGTATCGCTCGAAAAATTCATTTATTCGTTTGAAAATTTTGAAAATATTCAGTTTGCTACGGTAATTGTTCTCATCCTCTGTAAGATGTTTCAAAACTATAAGCAAAGATTTAACTGCTACATAGAATTCACAAAAATAAGTTTCAATAAATAGTGTATTATAACGAGTCATGTGTCACGTGTTACATAGTAGTAAATAAGGGTACGTTTGAAAACGAGAAACTCAGAAAAGAGGGAGAAATTTATATTTTAGGATTCTAATTGTCTTAAAACAAGAAATTCCGTTCATATTACGACGATTATGTCACCCTTACGTATCGTAATCTATCGTCGTTCGACGCTTCTTTTGGAAATACAACGGGAAATTTATTTCCGTGCAATATAGACTTTGGAGATATCGTTGACAGCGGAACCGGGAAAGGAGGTGGAAAGCACGTCCGATCACGATTCCCCGGCTGGCAACACTTCCGGAAATAACGAAACGAAAAATCCGGAAGTGCACCAGCCGCTGAAAGTTAAGAGCGGGTTGCAGAAGAGAGCTCCGGGTTTTCAAGCAACGCTGATCTGCTTAATGGTCGCTGCCAGTGGAGAACAGCCCGAAAACATAACGGCTCTCAGTTTGAACTCCTCCTATGGCTTGTGAGTATATCAAATATACATAAATCGATTATTTATTTGCTCCTTGAATGGTCTATTTATCGTAGAAACAAAAATAAATTTGTCAGTTATCAGAGAGAAAGAAAATATTCAAGTTAAATATAGTTCAACGTTTAGATTCCTTGTATCAGTTAATCAGAATAGATTTTCATAAGACTTTTGACCAGAACTTTTCTATAACGATTTGAAACGATTGTTTTGAAAACGTTTTCTGACAGAATGGTGATTATTTGATTGTAGAATGGCTTACGGGAACGAGTCCGGTTTGGTGGTAGTAGACATCGTGCAAAAAATATCATTGGTTGTGTTAAATACGTCGGATATCGGGGGTAGTGCGGACCCATGCCAACGTGCGCTAAGGAGCCCTAAACGTCAAGACGATTTAAAACGAGAAAGCGAAGACAAAGCGAGGAGTCCTAGCACAGATCAGGTAAAATGTATTTCTTTTTTAATTACAATCGTTTTTAACGTTATAATTGTTGCCCTCTCCATTCTTCTAAAATTTGTCTGAAGAAACATTGTGAAAGTTTGATATTTATATATATGCATTTCGCTTTTTCTAGACACTAAAATTAATTATCTTCATTATTGCATGACTGTAAAAAAACTACAGGACTTGAGTGTTCAGTTTGTTACCAAATTTGTAATTATAAGTCTTTTTTTCTTTTGTAAATATTAAAAAACTTCAGTTCTTAATAATGTCGGCGTGATATAACAGCTTTTATACCAATGCCAAAGTAGACATCATTAAATAGTCATTATATCACTCTATCATATCTGTGATAATAGTTTTCCACGAATGTTATTTACGAGCAACGATTTCATATGACGATCCCTTAGGATTATTAATTATAGCATACGAATAAAGACCTGTTACATCAATAAACCATTTTATTTTTCAGAAAAAGTAACTCGTTCATTATTTAACAAAAATTAATATCTTTATTTTCACCCTGTAATTTTTTTTCGAATTATTTCACCCCGAATAGAAATAACAAATTTTTAACAGTTCTTAGGGAGGACGATAATTAACTTTACATTAAACATCTGACACCTAATTAGAGGATCGTTTAAACGAATAAAAATAACGTAGATGATAACGAAACAATATTACTTTACATTAACAAATTAAAACTTTAAATGTAATTTGTATAAAACTAAATATAAAATATGAAATACTCCATCAAAGCTTAATTTTCACCATTCACTTTGTTTTCTTGAACTCATAATTGTCTCGCGTTATTTTAATTCATAAGACGCTTTTAACTAACACATTGTTTATATACAAAATTTTATAGTTAAGTAAGTATGTGATAGTAGTTTTACAAATTCCAAGCAGAAAATTTGCGAACATGTAGACGACGATATATTTTATTAACGTTGTAGTTTATCGATCTAATATTAAAAGAGCTACGATCAAAAAGTACATGCTGGTACTATATTAATTAAAAGTAAATTACTTAATGAAGTAAGCTCTAGGAAAATCCATTTTTCGGATACAATCCTAATCTATATTTGAACGAATCGAGTGACCCTAGTCATTCACATAAAATTCAATTTAATTATTTATAGATTGCTTTTTAAATCTTTCCTAGATTTTCAAATTGAACATGTGCATTTTAAACAACTTCCTAAGTGATAGTTTGCAAAAGAATATTGTAAAAGAAGTTTTGATTAATTTTAAACTTCGACTCGTGGAATTATCGTGAAAAATTATGCATCTTCCAGGAAATATATTTTCTGTTAAAGGATAAACACAGCGAATTTACTCAAAGTTGTACTCGAAACATTTCGATTTTCCTCGATACAGTATCTGACCATTTAATGTAGATTTTTACTATTTAACACAGAACAAACAAGTACCAAATTTCCACCGGTTATAATATTTACATTATACGGCTCAACATGATGTACAATATATAGTAGAGTTCTGCAAAGGGTAGACCTTTTTTAATTTTCATCGGATAGAAGATAAAACGCCCTTGAAAACGAATTTTGTTCCAAGTCGATACCGTAGCTAGTTCTAGAGAAAATTAACTATTTAAGAAAAAGTGCTGGCTAGTAATTACGCAAACATCCTGTATTTAAATTCATCTTCAATTAAATAAACAATTTATGGTCCAGTTTTATCGTACATTAGTCGTACGATTAGTAGGAATTGCTGAAACTTCTTTGGGTATGTAGTGTCAAAGTATGTTAAAATAAACATAGAAGACAACATAAATAATAATAATTGATATAGTCATCGGATAGGGGTTGAAAATCCCTTTAAAATGAGCGTTCGTTAAAATCGATAGCTTTATTAGTTCCGGAGATATAACGATTTTAATTTCAAGTCGATGCGGTGGCTAGTTTCGGAGATACGGTTTGTTTACGTTTCGTTGTTTCGCTCGCGCGAGTTCATTGATCTCGCGCGCGTAGATAGTAAACAGTGCGTAGTAAATTCTTGGAAATACTACGCCCGAAACTAGGTCACGACAGTCACGTACGCGGGACGCACGTAAGACAAAGAGAAAAGTCGGATGACAAGAACCAAAAGCCATTTTAAAGGGGAGGCCTTGCCGCTTCTAACAATGGCTCAATTATAAATAAAACACCAGTAGTTTTGGAACTGCACGCGTCTAAATTTGAACTATTTTTAAGACGCATTGTTAGACTGTTCTAAGACAGTGGAAACTGTAGATTCTCTTCTGTCGTCTTTGCTATAGATATATTTCCTATTTACATAGTAAACTGACCAGAATTTGGTACCAGATTTTATCCGGTTTTTTACAAAAAAATATAAATCATTCAATCGATCAAATGACCGGTCGTGGTAGGTTTAGTGTTAAAGCTTTACTAAAATAGTTAGTGTTTGACAAGATTGGATGAAAATTGCACGGAGTTTTAAATACTGATCTTCTTTCTTTACTTTTTATTTCGAACACCATTGAAAAAATACAAAATCGTTTTAATGGAATGTACTCTTTGTTATAATTGATTGCGTCATTAAGTGTAATAGTACATAGTCATTATTTTCAAGAGTATTTCATTATTTCAACTAGAAAATAATTATTTTATGAAGTGCTTTAAACGTTACATACACTATTATTATCTACTTGGGCTTAATATATAGAATAGTTCTTTTAAATAAGAACATCTAAATGTCATCAACATATTAATGCTTTGTAGCAGTTACTGTGTCATAAATTCGCGCTCAAACGTGCTCAAACTATTATCATATACGCCTCATTAGAGCGATAACCGTGTGTTCAGCTAATTACTCTATTAGATTTCTGTGTATGAGGGAAATTACCATTTCAAAGCTAGATAAATGGTCCGGTACTGAGTATGTCGTGTTTGAGATATTTATTTGTTAGGTTTTACTTGATTCATCTTGCGTGAGTTACTTTTTGGAGTACCAAAAAGTGTAAACAAAAGTTGGTATCCAGAGCAAGTTTCTACAATACTAACAGTTTATTATTAATTTTTTTCCAGTGAAATTTTCACTGATTACTTAGAATCTTTTATGTAATCATACATAGACACGACAAACTTCACACAATATTTTCTGCTTGGAACTTTGCCAGTTAGAAATTTAAGATAAAGAAAGTAGTATTACCGGAATGAATTAAGGAATTTAAAATAACAAACGAGAATGTTATCGGTAACTAGTGGTCAAACTTGTCATTTTCCATGTGCCGAGAATTGAAGTTTAGTTGTAATAGATTTATGTAACTCGTTTTATGTACAAGTAATATTATATCTGAACTTCCAATACCTAACATATTGGTTAAATGTTAGTTGTACTGTTCGTTATAGTTTGGAAAAATCGGCACTATCGTTCTTAATAGTTAAAAAAAAAAAAAAAAGAAATGCTGTATATTTTAATCAGCTACTCATATTTATTGTGCATTTAATGTTTAGCTAACTATGTGTCTACCCACGTTAAAACAAGTAAGAGCAATACTTTTTGTTTGTTAAAGAAACAGTTAGAACTTTTGTTTTGTTTCTATGATACATATGATATTCCTTTATTAATAAACATAAACAAATTCGATAACAGTAGGTAGTAAGTAGTGGACCATATTTTAGTTTTATTTTTAACTTTGGTTTATGTTTAGATTGTCGATCAATGTTGAACATGTAGAAACAAAGAACGAACAAGTAACACGATCGATTTTGTAGCTCCAGAGTATTAGAAAATTACTGTCGTTACAATTATACCTAACGATCTAGTAAGATTTACATGTGCCGATTTTCACATAAACGTTTGATGGAATCTGTGCATGCACAAACAAAATAATACAATGAAATATGCAAGGTGGTGAAACTGAAAACAAATATACATTTAGTATTATACCACGTGTACGAGAACAAGAAATGTATAGAAGGCTTAATAACAATATGGATGTCGAATTGAAATTACTTTTCACAAAGTACACTATAAAACCAACAGTTTGTACGTTCATTGTGTAAACACAGTTAACAGTTTTTACAGTTACGGCATGCTTATACACATAATTGCGATACTTATGAATAAGCAGCTGGTGATGCGAAATAAACTAAACTTTAACCCCTTAACGCTCATATTTTTCGGGTTAACGAAGAATAATCAGTTTTCTTTATTGGATTTGATTCTAAAAATGTGGTTTCCGTTAATTACAATGTTGTATCCAACGTATAATTTGAAGGAAAACAAATATCATCCCTTAAACCATTAGATTAAATAAATATCGTTTTTCAAAGCAGTCAGACTCGGGCATGAACGTTAAGGGGTTAAGGAGGAAGTGCCCAATTTTGAAGTTAAAATATTTTTGAGACTTATTTTTATTATTTATTTAAAAACAGAGTCTCTAGAGAATTTTTTTTATTATTTAAAAAATATTTAACAGAGTGTAATGTTAATAGAATATTATTATCGTTAAAGAAATTTACAGCCGGGCATCATGATTGTCTATTCTTTTTCTTTTTCTTTCCCGGGGATAAAAAAACATCGTAAGGTCAGCATAATACAAAGAATATCCTAAGTATGCCCAATTATGTGACTTATTAAGTAAGAAAAAACGAGCATTTGAACAAGTATTTCGTTTTTGCGAAATTTAGAAACACGTGAACGTGAGTACCAATTAAAAGAGTATTTCTGCGGTGAACGCACGTAGTATTTAATACTATTAACATGTAGGTATTATCGTGCATAAGACATATGCCAACTTATTATATGTACTCAATATAGCTTTGTTTTTTTTATGTCGAAAAAAAATTTATCTAGAAATCGTTACAACGGTATTTCATATTTGCAAATTGAAAACTTGATGAGGTATAATTAGACAACATTGTTGTAACGAGCGTGCTTCATGGCTGATTAATTTTATCCTTACAGATAAACTTGTACACTTGTAACAACGACTTGTGAAATGTTTCAGCTACGTATCATTATTACAACAGTAAATGACAACATTAATCAGGTCATGACGGTCATATCAGGTGATTTCAAATATATATAAACCTAATGAGCATAGTAATTAAGCTAGTCATTCCATAGAATTCTGAAGTCACAAATTCTGAAGCCGTTTTCGAACGTAGAAATTATATCTTGAATCTATTTGACACGTTGACTAAGAATTCTTTGGAATGTCCCCCATTATGCTCGCTTGTAACTATGCTATAACACATAGTTTCCACGTTGACTATATTCGAACACTCTTTGCATTGATATATTTTGTGATAAAGTGTACTATCCATATAGTATATGTTAGAAACAGTTTCAAAGACCAATTCTGTCATTTTCACTGAAATAATCTGAACATTCCGGTGATAGCCTTTTACAAGAGTCGTTCACATTCGTTTACAAATAAGTTACATACACAGGATTTCAACTTATTGATCATGTCACACTTGACCAGAAAGGCAGCCCACACAGATTGTAAATCAGTCCTCTAAATGTATGTATCTGCATGCTTAAAGTTTAGCAAATTTTGGTACAAAGGAGCAAAACTGTCGATAAAACTAACCGATTCGTCCATTTTGGTGCTTCTAGCTAAAGATATCAAGCATTTAGTATGCTATACATAAATATAAGAGTGCACAAACGATGAATCACATTATAATACACAATCCAAATCATTGGTACTAATAAGTTAAGCATATTTTAAGTATTGCGTTAGTATCAGGAAATCTGTAGACACCCTCTACAAATACGTATATATTATTATATTGAGTGCTTATTCAGAATTCAAGCTCGAAAATGCTAACGTTCCGTAAAAGTTTCGTTGTAAAGATTATAATTCAAACAGGACCGATCGTATCATCCTTTAAAACGTTAAAAAATCTAAAAATGTTCTGCATCAACTTGAGTTTCTGGAGAAGCAGTGAATTTCGAATATATACTTTTTGAAAGACTTCCTCCCGTGAAAAAGGATATTAAATGTATCACGATATTGTTTCTATGAGCATCTTAGGTATGCCTTGCATTTAGTGTTAAGACGTGATTGATCTGAGTTCTGTAAAATGTTTAAACTTTAAAGACACCTTCCCTCGTCTGCACTCTTCTACGGTTCCACGTTTCAAATTGTGTACATTTATTTGGGAAGTGACAAGTGACCATACGTTTGCGATATCTATCCGTTTGAAGATTGACCAAAACATTTACATTAATTAATAGATTTTCCGTACTTGTAATTAAATATATGCCCAACACTTAATATTTAATTTTAGATTCGTAAGGTTACGTTATACTTTATGGACATCAGAATAATTTGCGGGGTATACTAACGATAAGCGTTTACTAACAGTATTGAAATAAACGCAATAATGCTGTAGACTGTATGCAAATAACATGTGAAAATTATCTGCTTTTAGAATTAGAATTAAATCTTTTGCTATTTTGTATGCATTGATTTATTGTACAAAATCCAACATGTTAAATTCATCAGACTCACCGAGACTCTACTGTGGCGTCAGAAGCCTCGTTAACAATGGTAACCGACAATGCTCAACATTCTCAACAATGTCCACCTCGCGATGAATTCCAAACCGGAAGTAATAACGAGAAAGGAACCACGGAGGAATCCGTGAACGAAATCCATAAGCCTGGAAATAAAACGAACGAAGAAGATTGCGCAAAAAACCATGGCTGGAAAGGATTTAGCCTGAAGAGGCAGCTCAGCAAGGTTGATCTGAAAATTAAAAGTACTTTCACACCAACTTTGGTGGCGTCTCAAAATGGGGTACTTGTATGCTTTTTATCTTATTTTTAGAAATACTTACTTTATTTGCATCAAAAATCGTTTAATGTTCCGTGTGTGTACTTTCACAAAATGTAACAAATTTCCATCATTGTTTCTCTTAAACGCTTGTTTCTGTCTCTCGTTGCTTAACAAAAAGAGTTATTTAAAGGATAATTTTTTTTTAAACGTAACATAAATGTCCTGATCAATTGTTACTTTCAAAATAAATATAAATGTTAATTAACATTTAAACTAGATTGTAAACATAGTGCTTCTAAAGGTTGAGTTAATACTATTATCGTTTGAAATAACTTGTTGCATATTGAGTCTGAGAAAAACTGTTTTATATAGAATCGAGGCATTGGGGTTTTTATATATTGTATTTTCCAAGATATCAAGGTGATTTTGAATTTTTTAAACCGCGTATAGTTTTTAGTATTAGACTGTAGCTGATAAAAATACCATCATCCTAGGTATGATGTCTTCTAACTTTTGTATTCGTAGAAAGATCACTAAAGCACCCAGTGATTTAACATGAAAATAGTCATTGGCCACTAACAATGCGTTCCTTCCTGTCGGATTTGATGAACAACTGCGACGACAGGAATAATCGTCATTATATTAACAATCAGCTTCAGTGTATGGCTACCTAATGACTCTCTTGCTAGCTGCAGGCGAAAGGGCCTCTTAGGCGAAGACTAAGGGAACTTTGGGACACAGGCAAGAAAGTAACGGGTAGTCTGGCTTTCCTCCCCCGTCATCAAAGTCGTTTTGCATCTAACATCCTAAAAAGAATAGATGGAGACCAAGACAATCAAGATCTAGCCTGTAACCGAGGAGCAAAATGGGGCAGGGGAGGATAGGTGTTTATTTAATTGTTTATCTGCTACGAGTGTCCTGACATTTCTAAGCTGGCTGGGAATAACAGATATCATTCGTCCTGCGTTATTAGGGTTGTCTTGAAAAGGACTCTGTAATGTTAAACTTAGTTTGAAGACTATCCATCTCGATTCTCATCTTGCAGATAAGTTTAATCCTCGTTGGTACCGTCCAGATCCTCTCTTGAAGACCATCAAGATGGGGGTTCTAGATAGTATCAACGAGGTTCTAAGTGCTCTGCATGTTGGGTCATGCAAAATGGATGGCCAGGAAACTACGTTTAACAGCACAGAGTCCTTTTTTTAAACCCCCGTGAAATCTTGGTCTCCATAACGGAGGGCTGCTTGTCTTATTCGAAATAGTCGATCCAGAACGACTTCTTGCGTGCAAGGATCGCTGGAAAATAGATCGATAGAAAAACAGTCTCAGAATTCCCTTAGGGATGTTCACTGTTTATGGTTCTTAGAATCGCAATATCTAATATCTTGGAAAATACAAGGCACGAAAGTACTGAATAGCTTCTGCCAAATAAGTACAATTTAGTACAAAAATCAATTTTAATACTCTGTTAGAGATACCGTTAGAGTAATTCTTTAAAATTACGTTAAACAAGATGTAAATTTCTCGTTATCTGCTATGTTTGTTTCGTTTGACTGTAATGGTAAATGGAATTAATCGTAGGAATTATGTGTGATCGCGATTAATAGCATTAACCTCGTTTGTGCTTTGGATATTGCAAAAGTGTCTGTAGACGAAAATCTCTAAAATGAAAAAAAATCTGTACAAGTACCCCATTGTTAACAGGTAGGCACCGATAGTAGCGGTCAGAAAGCTTCTGTTTTTTACTGTAACATCAACGAATCCGCGAATTCGTTATCTCCAGTCGAAAGTGTCGAAGATGAGTCTTCGGTGTCATCGGAAGGTTCGATATCGGGCCGCGAAAGTCCATTAAACGATGATAAGAAAAGGAATAGTCAGGATGCGAAGAGCCCGATGATCGATGGAGACAATGCTAAGCTATTACGATCTCATAATGACAATGTTGTCGCAACGTCCGACGCTGTACGGCCGGTTAATTTAACCCTGTCTGAAAACGAATTGAAACCGCCACGGCTGAAGAAAATCGTGAAGATGAAACAAGTGAAAAGGGAAGGTCGTTTGTTGTCCGTACCGAATTTAAAGTTTGCGAAAGACGACGCAACGATTTGTGACCTAAGGTGCGAAGAAAACACGGCCCCCGAAACCTTCACCGGCAATCTAATAAGAAGATTCAGTAAGTGTTCAAAATTAGAGTAGAGGAGAGTCTGTGTTGTCCGTGTGCATTTAGAAACGTGATACGTGTTAGAGTGTAATGTAACATGCGAATAATTGAATATATGCGTGTGAGTGTGGGTGAGCATTTAAAAAAATCAATTTTCTTTCAAATCGTCATTGCGTTGACGATTTACTCATTACGTAAAGAAATGATGACTCTGTGTCGATGAGAGCACTTGTTTTACGAGAATTAGATTAATTTATAGGAGAAGCTCGGCTATATTTAAACTGTGCTTTTATTTTTGTCCTTGTTTTAACGAAACTGCCTAGGATGCTCGTAGATTCATGTAAATTAACATCTAGAGGTAACATGAGACAACCAGTGTCTATATAAACTAAGCTTCCGCAATGAGATGTCATGAGTATCAAAGGTTTATGTGAAACTTAACATTGGTTTTTTTTTTAAGGTACATTATACAGTGGCTTATTAGGATTACGAACTTGTTTCGCCTCGTATTTGTTTCCCAGGTACTCTCGCATACGATTCTTCGTTCCATGCTATTTTGAACACTTTTTCTCGCAATTTGTTGTAATCTTTTAAAGTTATTTCAAAGCTGGAACAATTGTAAAATTGTTTTTAGAAGGCTTTCTATCTCAATTTTTACTTTTTTAACTAGGAAGAATGGTTATTATTCGATACTGAATAACATGCCATGAGAAATAATTTTTATTTTCAACGTAAATACTGAAAAGTCCATTATTAAATTTCTATAATTTGTCGATGAATATTAATTTTCTTTCGAAATTTTAAATATTAAAAAACACAGTGTATTCAACTTCTGGCCAAATCCGAAATTTTGCCACAAAAAGTGTTCGATTCGGCATGGAATGATCTTATCGTATACTTGGTTACATTAATACTCGATATGATACTTCGAATATCTCGTAAATGCGAGTAAAAATTAATCACAATAACAGATAAAGACTGTACGAGTTTAAAAGTTATCGCTAACGACGATTAATTCACATAAATCTGAGAATAGACACGAGATACAGGAGCTTGCAAGAGTATAGCCAACCGCAGTACTAAATCCCAAGCTTTTTGTTTGTAACGACTAGAATAATTTTAGAATTTCTGCATGACTGATACAACTACTCTACCACGTAGGAATATCGTTATTTTTTTTTACTTTGGTATCATTGTACACTCTTCGAAGAAATTACAGTCCCTCCCCGTTCTCGCGGAGCATGTACCATTTATTTTTTTCAAACAGGTGACAAAGTATGACTACCAAAACTAAACATAGAAGTTAGTCAGATTTCCAATCGGATCCAACGATCTTCGAAATTAGTCATATTTCTTTCGCTTTCTTTTCTCCCCTCCATTCTCACATCTTCATGAATAACAACAACACAGGTTCTCGAACTTCTGTGTACAGTATTTATTATTTAATATTTAATAATAGCAACGGACTAATTTTCGTTTCAAAGTATAACCAACGAAGCAGAATCTTCTACGCAATACGAAACGAATTATAATATTCCAAAATTTCCAGTAAGCCCTCAGAATTATTTGGTAATTTGAACTATTTATATGATGATACAAAATTAAGATGTTAAATGCATCTTGCTACGATAGTTGGCGAAACTTCATAGTGAGTATATGTGTCACAATATATTAATTCATCAAGTTAAACCAGGGGTTGGTAAACTTTTCTCAAAAGATAAGGCAGAATTTAAACAATTTTATAACCAATAACTTACAGGAATTCATATAACTTAACAGATTTTTTAGAAAATCAACAAGGTTATTATGTTGTTTTAAATGAATTGGCTAATGAAATTTTTCAACGCTCATAGTTTTAATGGAAGGATTATTTATTAATCAAAATATGATCCAGCATATTTGATACATTTTTTTTAAGCCATCGATTAAAGAAATCTTTATTTTATCGATTACTTTTGAACGATATAATAGAGTTACAAACGACTGCAAATTTTTTAACAATACTAATTTGCAACGAAGTACGCCACCCTTGAAATTGTTTTTCTAGTATCAAATATTCGAATTAAATTAACGAATTTGTATAAATAGTTTACCACCCCCTGAGTTAAATCAAAATATCAAAAGATTCTCAAAAACACGCTGTAGAACGACCTTTATGTAACAACCATGAATCATCAAAAAGAAAAGGAAAGTTGCTCATAACAATTCACCGATTTAACGATACGAACGTAGAAAGTTATGTGGAATAAATCGTTCGATGTTTCTTATTGACGATAAATGTAGAGTCTACTATAAGAGTCAGTCAATCAGTTTGATCGGTATTTCAATTTCTGTGTCAGCGTGTAATTACGTTTCAATTAGTCCAAACGCATAGGAAATTAGGAGATCTCCAGAGAGTTTTTTGGAAGAGTGCAGACTCATTTAATTTTAAGCAAGCGATTCGAATACAATTTTCATCTTGTACGCTCAGAGGGTGCCTACATTTTCTATGGCGTTAAAATTCAACGTTCGGAAACCGAAATTTTTGAAAAAAAACACAACATTGAATCGGAGAAGTGTTAGTATAAGGTGCAGAATTAAAATATTTACGTCCACGTGTGTTTCCGTGCCCAGTCTCGAGGTTCGATGTTTATAGATTGTTTGTACAAGATTTAAGGTCAGGTTCACGATTATTCTTTTATCGTGAAGAAGTATTATTATACTATATCCCCTGTATTGTATCATACAACAATATCCCTTTGTATTGTGATATTTTTCATCGGTGCATATACAGCTTGTATCCTATATGCCTTGTTCGTTACTAGAAGGTACTTGTATGTATAATAGCATCTGCATATTCATAGTAGGTACACATACGAATATTTGGAATGCATAGTCAACGTATATTAAAATTATATATTATACATATACATATATATCGTGTTACAGGAAACGGGGGATCTTTTTCAGGATCATCCTGCTGGTTTGAATCAGGAAATTCTTTGTGATCTGAGACCTCATTGTGAAGATGTGAGCTCGAAATTCACAAACGAAACATTCCATAAAATTTAATACATTTTCTTACCGGTTTTAATCATTCTTCGCACTCTGAAATCGAGGACATCTTTATTTTATGATTTAAAAAATATTTATTGCACGAATGCATTCCGAGTTTCTAATCGTGATGGACAAAATTGTTGATATGACAACATTTCACATTGAAAAATATACTTTTTCTCTACTTAGTTAGAAAATGATAGTCTGCCCGATTTATTTAATAGCTGTTTTTTTAAATTAACATGGAGCTTATTTCATTAACGTTTCGCTAATTTTTGGCAAATTTTGACAACCAAAAAAAAGAAAGTTTCATCACATTTTAAACGCGAAATTTTCTTATATCAACGATTCTTTTTACTATGATTGAAAATTCCGGAATTTGATTCTATAATAAATATGCTTAAAGTCAAAGTATACGAGATCCGCAAAGCAATTAAAATCTGTGCAAAAATGTGTTAAATTACACGGAGTTTGTGTTAACGTGTGAATTCCAAGCTCACGTCTCTAAAATAAAGTCTCAGACCACAAACTAATAAGAGCTTTCCGATTTATGTTGGCACGATGTGAATAGATCCTGAAAAATGGTTCGCCATTTTGGGTAACACCTTATATTCGCACTTGTTTTCGACACCCATATGTGTGAATTTCGTTTGAACTTTTTAGACTCCTCCCATTCTTTGTTATTTGCTCCCCTGGTTTGTGAACTGCCGGAATATTCCTTCGGAATGTACCACAAGAGATTACATACTCGATACGTCCTTGAATTTAAAAAAAAAAAACCAAAGTACAAATCGATAAGTTATCCTTGAGCATAATCAATCTATTACTTGAATATGAAGAGATTTTACTTTAACGCTTTTTCAGGTTCAAATCAGTTTTGCGGTCTTCCCCGACAGCAAGGTTGATTCAGGTAAAGACAAGGTTTTTCATATTTTGACAGTTGTTTTATCACCGAGAGAAAAGTATATTTGTTGCGAGACTTTACGTAATAATCTAGGTAATGTTAAGTATTCGTATCTGTTCTTTTAAGTATGTTACGAGCGACTTGATCACTATGGGTCCGATGTAAAAAATTAAAAAACGGTATTATGAGCGATCCATTTGGTTCATTTCGTTCGGGCGTCAAAAACTAAAAGCCTGAGGCAAAATAGGTTTTTGCAGAATTATCTTGCTTTTGTGTTACCCATTGAGTAACAATTAAAACGAATTCATAGTTTTCATACACTGTGTTCAGAATGTACCTCAGACTGGATAATTGAAATATATTTAATTTTGTAATTGTTACAAAGTTCTAGGAAAGCAAAATAACCCTGCGAAACCGAGTCTGTCTAGTGCTCATAGTATTCGAAAATTGAACGAAAACAGAACGAGTGGATCCCCTTTAAGTTCCAAAATTTATGGTCTAAATTTTTGATGGGTGTAGCACTCAAACTAAACGAAATATTTTGTTGTGTAAAAAGGCAAAGAAATTGGAAATATTCTTTCCAACAAAGTTTTGAAATTATCATCTTTCACAGCTTCTAAGTTAATTGTGTTTAGAATTCTTTGGATTATAGTGAACAAATCTTCGAACTTTTCCAGTATCTTCGAAAACATGTTTAGTTCCTCTGTTCGAAAATATAAGCGAAAAAGAATTATATGGCTCCATTTAAAATTGACTAAAAGATAATTCTAACAATTCTGAAGAATTGCAAATTATGAAAAAGTATATTATTTATCGTTAACGTCTCAGAATTGAATTGTTCAAGGCAAGAAAAGTTTCATACCGGAAATAATTGTGATCAAGTTAGTTGGTTCGTGCAGGGTTATTTTCCTATATAAAAAGGAACACCTACACATCTTTGTCATTTATCAATATATGAATAAAGTTAAACTATTCGAGGGGATAAACATAACAACGAGGAAAATAGGTTTTCCAGGTTATTAATATTTTTTTAAACAGAGACTCATACTTTTTGTTGTTAATCTATTCTTAT